TTGCATCATTGCTATAGAGAGGGCATGCTCTCAGTCTTGAGGAGGGAAGAAAAAGACCCTTAGTGGGTGCTGCAGCTTCAGAGGAGGATTGACCATGTTCCCCTTAAAAAAGCAAAGGTAGAATCCTTGCTATTGTGGTAAAAATCAACCTTGACTATGAGGCTGCATAAAGCATTTCCACAGTGCTTGTGTTCTGTTTAACGGGTGGAGTGTCACTCAGAAATACAGCTTAAAAGAAAAGAAGAAAATAAAAAATTCTTTATAGTCACCTAGGTTTTATGGAAAATGTGAACAAAGGAGACATTGACTAGAACCATTTCACATGTAGCATTTAATTTCCAGGAAAACATGTCCTAGTGACTTGTAATACTAAGTAGGCTTTATATTCCTGATGAAAAATGTGAGAGTTTCCTAAATAAGATATTTCTCAATTGTTAAAAAGTCAAATAGTTTGATGATATATTTGTAGATGTAATACGTGAAATGCACTGTTTCATAGAGGATAGGATCTTTTTCCATGTACAAATTGCATATGGATATCCTTTTTATATAACCATTGACCAATTAATTATGTATTTAGTATTATGTCATTAGAACACTAAATATATGACCATTTCCATGTTAATGTAAGGGCAGCTTACATGCTAGTTATTTTTTTGATTTACTGAATGTTATTGGTAGGCAGTGTTCAGGAGTGTGAAAATACCACTACATTATTACATGGCTCATTAGGTTATTAACTTGAGTACGTAAATACTAGGCAATGGCTAAACAGACACTTTCTGTGTGGTCAGAATTCCTCAAGGAAAAAAAAAAAAGCTACCTTTCCATAACCAAAAGTTGAATTCAGCACTTGATATCTAGATATTTTGTCTTAGCAAGCTATTGGGATGTAACAGCCAGGACCAATACATTTGCAAAAGTAACTGTATATTAAGAATATAAGAGTAAATTTTTAGAAACTGTTTCCAGTCATAGTCCCTTTAAGACAAATGAAATGTGGTAATTTAAAAAAAATAAAATCTAATTTTCAACATTTTTTTCATTGAGATTATCAGTATATAGCATATATTTAATCAATAAGTGACACGTTTGTTGCTCCATTTTCTTAGAACTTTTACTTGTCTGTACCATTGATCTCAAAAAATAAATGCCCTAGAAGCAGTGATACCTTTCTCAAAGGTACTTAAACACATTAGAAAAGAACCTCAAGAAAATTAGGTCTCAGGGGTACCCCAGTACACCACACAAGCTAATAGTCTGATTGACAGAAAATTAAAATATTTCTTTTAATACAGTATCTTAATCTGGCAATAGGCGTAAACTGCTGTGTCATTTAAACTAATCTATATTTATGTATACATTGTAGGTTTACATGATACCTAGTTGCTTATTTGTGTTTTAGAGACACAAAGCATACTGGAAATAATTAGTTGGACACATCATGACTTAAAAAAACCCCGACATGCTTGTACAGAGTCTGTGTGCCTCTGGAAACAAAAATATTGAATAGTTGACTCTCCTTGCAGCAGATAGGAATACATCAAGACTCGGGTTGTGTTTTACCAAATTACAAGGATTAGTTAAGAACAGAGGGTTGCAAAATAGTGAAAGATTGCATATTGGAGCTCGATATGTACATACTGTAGGATACCTACGCAATAGAAGTTTCCCAAATTTAAGTATCTACAGCCATAAAATAAATCCTCAGGGGATCTTAAAATATTTTTTAAAATAATTTTTCTCATTCCTAGTTGCACAGAGAAATAAACTGAAAGGGAGGGATTATTATATGCTGGAAAAGCACTCTCTTATTTTCAGTGTGTTCAGAGCCCGGTATAGATCAGGAGGTGCTGCTTTTTCCCCCATGGAGGTTCTGCAGTATTGCTGTTCAATGGATCAATCAGTTTCCTAAAAGTCAGGGGACAGCTTCATTTTGTGAAGGCTGGGCTCCTTTGCCCCGTGCAATCAACAGAAGATAGCACTCTGGGGCTTTGCACTTATGCTTTTGGAGTCCCTATTCCTGTTTCTTTACAGTTCTGTAGCTTTAATAAAACAGCATGATTCCTGCCTCACTTTTCCTTTCTTGCTAAGTAAGAACAGTTGATATTTATGTATAGGTGCATGGTGACTGGGAAAAGTGCAGAGGACTTCATAAGGAAATTTTGCTTGTTGCAGCTTGTAAACTACATTAAATACACTGTAGTGCTAGGGTTGACATTAATGTGTTGTTTAAAAAGCTGCTGTCAGGCCAGTGCACATGCATTTTCCATAATGTATATGTGCTCATGTGTGATATTTAGACTGCTCCGTAGCTACAAATGTGTCTGGGAAAAAAGGCTTTGATTAATTGACTTTCCTCCTCTTCTCCTTTCCTCTCTTCAGATGCAAACTCTCCATTCATTATCAGGGATGATCAGAGGAGGAGGGGAGCAGAGTACACGTGGGTCACACGCTGTTAGAGTTACAATTTTCCAAATGCCATAAGTAAACAGTAGGGAACGGGAAATATCCAGGACGGGAGAGGACCTCTGTGTTTGAAGGTCCTCCTCCATTCCAAATATTTGGTCTGATTTTATCTTTATCTGTACAAATTTGCATCTCTCCATTGTATATACATGTAATACTTGTTACATCTTCAACTCTCTTTGCCTTTTTCATGTGACACATTTTCAGCCCTGCATGTATGAGGAACCATGAGCACTGATGTATTGATTGAGGGCTATTCTTGCCAGTGTTCCTTGCCCATTTGTTCCTTTTTCTTAGGAAATTAGCACCCCTAAGAAATTATATATACGTATATAATTCTAAAGCCAAAACTCATACTTCATTACATCAACTGACAATTCCTTTCACTTCTGTTTGTATTTATACTTATATGAATGGTTCTCTCCTTTTGATGCCTCTGTGCTGATAAGAGTTTATTTCTGCTAAATTTCATGTATGTTCACAGTGTTTGTGCCATGCATAATTTATCTATAAAATCAGAATTTTGCACAAGGAGGATATTGCTAGTCAAAATCCAAAAGTTTGGCCCCATCTTTATTCATCATATTTTCCTTCTTCAGTTTAACATTATTACTGGTTAATAGGTGCACCTGAAAATCAAGCTGTATTGTAGTATCTGGTGCGTTATGTTAAATGAATCTTTTCTAGGACAGCAAGTCTCTTTTTTTTTTCCTAATGAAAAAGAATACCTCATCTTTTCCAATTTTCCTATCAAACACATCCACATCATCTCGAGACACTGCCACATCCAGCTGCATCTATACTCAACTTCAATTATATGAAATTACACAACCTACTCTCAGGTCCTTTAGGTTCTCTTTTGCTGTGTGAGGCACACGCATAGTGCATTTCCTGTGAAGTGCATGATTACAAACTATTCAGTACAAGCCTGTTTTAAGTAAACAGTAAATTAAATATTGTCAGTGCTTGTTCAGACGTGCTCTTACGAAGGAAAAAGAACTTCTAGATTTGGGTTCATAAAACTCTAGATTTAAGAAAGGGCCAGACATAAACTAGTCATCCTTTTTCCTTTTTAACTTCTCTTGGCTGACCCAGTTGTTCAACAGCTGGTACAAAACAATATATTCAGGTGCCCATACAAGGAAAATTGGGCTAGACAAAATGCTGAAGGTAGCAAAATTCCTGTTTATTGCTCTTTATTTGAATGGAGAATTCTCAAAACCATTCTGTCACTAACTGTCAGGTACACTGCTGCCTGAAAGACTGTTAAGAGTCTGTCTGAGCAACATGCCTTTTTCAACCATGACAAATACAGTAAAAGAACATCATTTTATTACAGTTCTGGCAATATTATTTTCTGCTACGCCAATCAGCCTGCCTACAGGAGTTAGGAAAGAAAGGAAATGGTTGCTTCCCTAAGAAATGAGGCCATTTGAGCTTTTTGTGCTATCTGCTACTTCAGTACTAGCATGGTCACCAGTATTTGGAAAAGAATAAATAAGTTTTATAAAAACCAGAAGCTACAAATGTGCACTTGCAAAGTCTCCTTTCATCTCTGCCAGTTAACTCACTCCCAAGAGACAGCAAAACTCTTTTCTTCCAAGGGGTCAAATATTGTTTTCATTCATTCCATAGACATTTCAAAGAGAACAAGAGTTGCATGTGTGTGTTCAGGGCTGCGCATGATTTATGATTAACTACAGCAAGTACTCCTTTCTTTATTGTATTTTGTTTCTCTTTCTTGCATGCATTTATGAGTGCGAAGCTCTGGCAAAAAATTCACAAATTTATCCAAGTTATCAGTGGTGTATTAAATGGCATAACATATAGATAATGTTTCCAGTTCCTCTATTACTAGATTTTAATGCAATTTGTAAAAAAAAAAATATAAATTTAAAAAAGAAAGAAACTATTTGAATCACTGTTAAAGCAGAGATCCTTTGTAAAACTAGTAAAAATAGTGCAAAAAAGGATGAAAAATACTTGCTTTGCAAATTAAGAATGCAGAGATCTAAAGCAGTCTGATTTGTTCTTTGAAAATGGATATGAGAGTTAACTCAGAAACACAATATTAATAGATTTGTATGAGTGCACATAAGGCCAATATATTCAATGCTGTAATTTTTTTATGGTTTCATAAATAGTGCTATCACCAACATTTCAAAGAAATCTGAAAAAACCCAGAGCTTATATGTGGTGGCATAAATTTAGTGTATTTTATAGAACACTGTTACTCCAGATATAGCCTACGGGTTGTGACTTTTCATAAAACCTAATGAATTTCTAGATTTGTCAGCTGTTTCAACACAGATGCACTTTGCTGATCTAATGGAAACATTTTGAGCCCAGATCCAAAATATCAATAGCTTTTAGTATCGCAAATTAGTTTGGCTATTGGGTAAGCGGGGATGTGGTTCTTGATAAAAAGCACTGAGTAATTTTGTACATGTGTTTTATGACAACTGCCTCTCCAGTGTCTGAAACTGAGGGTTTTTTTTCTCTGTCTTTTTTTTTCTTTTCTTTTTTTGCAGAGTTTTAAGTTGAATGTAGATAGCCACTGTGCTTTAAAAGAAGCAGTGGTAGAAGAAGGACGTCAACTTCTTGAGCTTATTGTATCTCACAAATCAGGTAAATCCTTCTGAAATATTGCAAGTCTTTATGTCTCCAGACTATTAAAGAATGAAGAAGCATTGCTGTAAATTACTGCATATATTCACTTCCTTATGTATTATTAATATTTACATTATCAGATTGACCTTCAAGATTTATAAATGTTTCATATACTGCATACAATGCAGTGATACTTATAAAATGAAATACTGCCTGCAAATAGTCTGTTCATTTTATTTTGGTCTTGCTGCTCAGCTGAGTTTCAATTGAAATCACATCACTGAAAACTTCACACTGACACATTCTTTGATGTAGGTGCTATGGAAATAACATTAAGATAATGAATTAGGATTTCAAATATATATATTTTACATACTCTGCATGGGTAATTGCATTGGTAAAGCTTTGTTTTGCCACTTAAACTAATTCTTATATCGATTTTAATATATTTATGAGGAATAGATTAAAATTAAAAATACCTTTTTCCTTTGGTTAGGCTTGTCTTTTTCTGCAGAGGCCTTGAATTGAGAGGAGGGGGAGAGATATACTGGTTTCCCTTTCTCTGTCCCCATCATCCCCTATATTTTTAGATGTTTCCATGACTTGTATGATAATAGAGTTTTAATCAGCATATACTGCTATGGAATGCCATCTTAATTTTGGTCTATTTAGCATGCTTTTCATCGAGGTTGAAGTTATCCTTTGGTCTACTGTATTCTGATCATGTTATACATTGTGCCTCTATTGTTTCACAGCATCAGACAGATCTGTGTAATGTGAAAGCTATAGGAAATTAGTGACTTCTATGTATAGATCCAAAAAGATACAGAAACCATAGCAGAGAAGGGTACTGCATGTCATTATATACTTAGACAATGGTAATGTGTATATTACGGAAAATATTTACAGGAGTTGGAGGTAAGAAAAATGTATTTGGAAGATCTTGAAATGTTTCAAAATAAAGACTAGGTATTAGAGGGTAAGATTACCATAGCATTTCCTACTGCATAGATATCACAGTTTATGTAGGATTTTCCTTTTCTTGAAATTGTCAGCTGAAACATAATCAGAATTTAACGTGATGGCTAAATGTTTTGACCCTGTAGCATTGTTTTGCAGTATGAACAATAGTAATACTTGAATTTATTGCTGAGAAAATATATTAAAATTCTTCTTGCATTTATTCTTTTAAATATCCTACTAATTCTTTGAATAAAGAATAATATTTAAAGACGCAGTTGAGTTTACAGCTTTTATTTGTTTCCCCTTCATTTTGGAGAAGGACTGAAGGACATGCTGCAGATGATTGCAAGTCAATGGAAGGAACTACAGAGGCAAATCAAACGGCAACACAGCTGGATTCTTAGGGCTCTGGATATCATCAAAGCAGAGATACTGGCTACTGATGTGTCTGCAGAGAATGAGGAAGGGACTGGGAGCCCTAAGGTAAGTGACTTGAAGTTTGCCTTATTTCCTCTTATTTCCGTCTTCTTTTGAACTAGGCTCCACTGAAGTTTTCTTTCCACCCTAAGGCTTTTCATTTCTACTGGGTAAACTTTTTTTTTAAAATAAACAAAATGAAATGCCTTACTCTGAAACAATAAAAAATCTTAGAACTTTCAAGTTTTCCAGGAAGACCTGTCTCATTGTGCGTAGAGGGGCATGAGGGGGAACACAAAACATTTAGTAAACAAAACATAAAGCATCTTTAACATGAATAATCAGAATGGTTTTAAATTGTTTTGTTGCAACTATAAATCACTATAATCAGTGCAATCACTCAGCTCTGACATCCATTAGCCGCTTGGTTACAGCAAATTAACAAAGAAGAGAGAAAGTGATTCATTATCTCATTCCTGTTAATGACTATCAGATGCATTGCTTAATTAGGGGATGGCCATTGTAGTGGGAAGAAGGTCATATGCCTTTTCACAAATCTTTTTGCTCTGAGTTTAAGTCTTCCATAATAGTGTGGAATACAAGTACTTTAAGAATACGGTATTGACACCTATCATCATATTGCAGATATTAATTATTAAAGAGGGCTACATTACTTACTAGTTGCCACACTTAATATTTGTAAGAGCATTTTAGAATGCATTTAGAAACTTTTCATTACCATCAGTAGTAAGCAAAGGTGGTTGGGGGAGGGTGCATTGGAAAGTGTTGGTTTTTCCAATGCATTCTAAGCAAAGAATATGCAGCAGAGCAATCCAATAACTCTTAACATCTTGGCATGCAGCAGGATGAATTTATAGAAAAATTCAAGATTCCTGTTTCTAGAAATAACAGAGATGGTTGTGCTGAGTAGATTTTCAGATTCTGATGCCAGATAATTCTTTGCATTGAAATTCAGTGCTTCCTAGAGAGTAGTTTGTAGAGTGACTCTTGGCTAGGATTACATGAAATGTTCTGGTGGTTTTTTACCATAATTCTACATAGCAGGAGTGATCTTAGACATGGGGGATGAAGAGCCAAGGATAACAATGAAACAAAAATACAGGAAAAGGCCTGCATGCAGAAGACACAATTTGAACTGATATCCCTCATGAGTTGTTTGGTGGAAAATGCTTCTGTGCCACATAGCTCTTACTTTAGGAAGTAGATGGTGGATCAATGCTTTGTTTCATAGTTAGGTCTGTTAAAGTAAACAGACTAGTTCAAAGTTAGGTTTCTACCCCGCCAATACTATGACCCTATATCTCTGAAAAGCTTGACTCATCCATGGACAAATGTCTAACTGTTTAATCCAAGTTATCATACAAAAAGTGTTCTAAAAATCCAGCTTGATTCTACTATGAAAAATATGGAATCCCTAGGTTGGAATAATTATACTCAAATATTTGCTTGGAAAGAGAGAAATGGAGGCATGGTTTATGTTGCAGTAAATTTTTCATATAGATAGGTGGTGTCTCCTTGCCCTGTGTTTTTTATCATAGAGATAGGAACCTGAAGCAATGCTTTTTTTGTGCCTACAGTTAAATAAAAACACAAGTACACAAAAAAAAAATGACCAAAGAAAAAGTATTTTCAGGTTATGTCATTCATTAAATCACATCCCTATATGATTCTTGTAAGTATGGGCAATAGTGCAGTCAAATACCATCTACTTCTTCATGCTGAAAGATTAACTAAAATTAAAATACAGTTGGCAATATAACTGTAGATTTCAGTTTGCATTTATTTCAAAAGCCAAAGGGAACCTGAGAAGTATAATAGGAAATCTAAAGATTATATCTAGAGGGTATTTTTCCTTTTGCCTTGTTTGAGAAACTACAGGAACAGTGTTGGTGTTAGAAATCTGTAAAGAAGTAGGAAAAGGAGGAATTTCAAAGACCCTAGGAAACCTTTCCCTTAGGACTTTTTAAACATGTTTTCATAGCACTATGGCATCTTTTATGCAAGCAATGGAGAGTGGAAAGGAGAAAGGGACATTCTGCACTCTAGAAATACTTTGTCAACATTTGTATCCAAGAATTCAGATTTTGCTTGTGAAATTTTTCATTTTATTGCATGTAAGTTTCATAGTGGTTTATAGTGATTGCTGTACAAGACTTAAGGGATTTAAAATATTTCTGATGCCTAAGCTCTTGTAGTGTATTGCATTCTCTGTTCAGTCTTAGAAAAACAATGAGATCTCCTCTTTAAGTATTTACTAAAACTATTATTCTGTCATTTTTATAAATAAACAAATGATGACTGTATTCAGCTTAAATTGGAGGATATAAGGTTTTGCCTTCTTACCCCATTGAAAAGTACCTTTAAAATTAAATCTCAGAATTGTCAGGATACATTCCAACAAGTACTGATCTAACATTATGAGTAGTAAACATGATGTACATCTGACTTTCAGAATCTTAAGACACTTAGCTAACAGTAGGGGTTTTCTCCTGTTGAATATAGTAAGTAATATTCTAAAATATCTGGAAAATAGGAAGAATGTTTGCATATATATGTGTATCTTGTGGTTTTTCACCTTCTGAAGATGTCTGAGACCACTTGTTTCGTAACCGTTCTCGTTATAATTGAGCCACTACGCCATCAGGAAAGGCCTACTGAAACAGTGCTGACAATAAACAGTAAAGTGTGGCACTGAAAATTAACAAGATGTACTTTCTTATCTAGTGGCTGTGAGCGTTACTGCCTGAATATTACCCTGATCCATATTAGTCATAGTTTAGTGGAAAAGTCCATTGCTTTCTGGACAACTTGTAAGTTAATTGTGCAACTAATGTCCTTGAAAAGTATACAAATCTTAATAGCATTTGCCTATAGTAAACATTCTCCTTCATTCAAAATTGCATGGAATAGTATTCTTAGGGTCAGTTGTAAGTTCTAGTCCCAGCATGCATTTGGACAGTTAATTCATTACTATAATTTTTGGATCTGGATATTTTTGTTTTGCAAGTAAATATTTGAATTAAATTCTGGGGTTTTTTTGTGTAACAGTTCAGAGCATCAGAATCTAAAGACTGGTAGGTTAAAAGGATAATGGGATACTCTAGAAATATATGTATAGTCTGTACTTCTGGACATGTTCATTTCCAGAATAATTGCTATATTACTGAAAAACATTTCTACTTTTCTATTCCAGCTTTAGAGAAATAAGCATGAAACTGGTTAAGGCATTGGGCCTAATGCTTAGAACATTGAAATGTGACTTAGTTGTCTCAGGTAAAAAGCACTTTTTGGAAGATTGTTTTAACTCTATAATGGACTTGTCTGTCAGTGGATTAATGACAGAAGCAGTAAGGATTTGAAGAATATTAGAAGAAGAGGTAAAAATATATTTAATAAAGTAAATCTAAAATCACAGAAAAAGTAGGTGGCTCAGGATAACAGAGTTTGAAGTGGTTAAACAAACCTTTGTATAAAGGGAAAAAGAAAACCAGTGTAATTTCCTCTTGATATGTAATTAAGCATTCCACACTTCCAGGATCATTCAAGCGCTGGAACAGGCTGCTCAGGGAAGTGGTTGAGTCACTATCCCTGGAGGTATTTAAAAGACACGTAGACGTGGTGCTTAGGGACATGGTTTAGTGGTGGACTTGGCAGTGCTAGGTTAACGGTTGGACTTGATGATCTTAAAGCTCTTTCCAATCTAAACGATGCTATGATTCTATCATCTCCCACTCAGTTGTGCATAATTTTACAGTTTTTACAGTCATTCTAAAGAAACAGTCTTCAATACACAGAAAAGTGGTTTTCATGAAAAACAATGAAAACTTGGTGAAGCTATTTAATATCTACCACAGTGTGAGATTCTGAGAATGCTCCTTGACAGACAGTTTTATAGTGACACTGGTCTCAGACCTAGTGGGTGGACTAAACACTGCAGTCCAGAACAACTGCATCCTGCTCAGTGTTTTAATATGAGGATGAGTTTGTGACATGGACAACAAGACAGAGCAAAGGTTAGAGAATGGTAACAGTCCTTTATTACTTCAGACTTGTAACTTGTCCTGGTCATCCAAGCATGTTGCTATGACTACAACATTTAGATTAATACTTTGATACAAAAGGAATGCACAAATGAAGTGTTTTGGCATCTTTGTCATCAATGCAGAGAAATATCATATTTGTGAGTAGATATTTTGCTTTTTCTCAGTGTCTTTTATCAGCTCTAGATTTCTAATCTGCAGACATCAGTATGATGCATGTACTGTAATATTAAAGCCAACACACCCGTATTTTTTCTGATGTCTTCCATTATTTAAAAACAGGGAAAGTCTGTTATTGGGACAGTCTTAAATGTTGTCAACAGATAACAGAGAGCATGATTTCAGAATCTTACTTACATGACCACTTTGAAAACTGGGTTTCTAGTGTCCAATGTATGCAATCAGAGTATTGCATGTATTATTGTAGTGGTTAGTGCTTTGAAGTTTCAAACGGCATGTGCAACTGGCCTTCATTCTCTTCTCCTTGAGTTAGTTGCTTCTAGTGATAGGGCAGGAATAGCATATGCTAGAGGGATCGTTTTACTTGGGTTGCTGGAGTTTCTTAAGTCACAGGGGACTTTTAAAACTTCACACCTCAAACTGAATTTATTTATTTAACTTACAGTCTCTCTTTCTCTGTCTTCCACATGCACAGACTCAGAATCAGACACATGCATTCAATCCTGTGTCTCATGTTCTTAATATTGTGGAATAAAATGTCACGTAAATAGCTATCACTTCGTCAGTAACAATATGAAAGATAATGAAATGGAAATCAGACTTCTATCTCTGACATTGTACAGACATTTGGAAAGGGAATCTCATCTGGTGATACACATGCCATCCTGGTCTACGGTTATCTCATGGCTTAATCAAGTCCTTTCTTGGAAAAGAAATGTACAAGGAAAGTTGGTATTTGTGCTTTAGCAGAAGTAATTTTTTTCTCTAATGTGACCATAATGAGCTGCATTCCCATCTAGACACGAGAGAGTTTTATGCCGTGAA